AATTTGGAAATGTAACGGACTGCGTTGATGATGGGAATGTTGATGATGCTGTGTATCTGGATTTCCAAAAGGCATTTGATAAAATTCCAACAAAGATAAATGGTGACAGGACCAAGCTGGGAAAGTGAACAGGAGACAAAGGTTACTGGTCAATAGTTGGAGATAGTAAGAATTGCCAATGATGGTCAATAGTTGTTTTTTTCCCGACTGCAAGAAGGTTTACAGTGGTGTTTCCCACGTTGCAGTCTGTCAAAGAAACTGCAAACACCAGACAAGCATCAAGTTCAACTTGGCTCTACCCCAGCAATCTGCAAAGGAGGTAGAAGTTGCCAATGGAACTACAAGAGGTGAAAAACTACCTGCAGACAAAACTCTGTTTGGGACAGTAAATTACTGTACACAGAGGGAACCACAGGATCAATAGGAAATGAATGAAATTAGCTGACTTAGATTGGGCCAATGAAGGTTAGTGATAAAATAGAATGGGAAAATCAAGCCTTTACATTTACTTGTGATACAGATTGTGGCAAAACACCACTTGGTAGGAGGGAGCCTGAAAATGCACATGAAGAGGAAAAACTGCACCATCAAGCCCAGAAACAGGCACGTAAAGTACACCAGGCAGCCAGCTCTGCAACATAATGAAACCTCACACTGGACAATAGCAAGAAAGCTTCCTGCAACCACAAAATCATGGCAAACCTCATGAACATCAGCAAGATGTCAATGAAATTCCTTTGTATGAATTGGAAAACAGAGGAGATTCTTTCCAAGTTCAAACCAAGAATAGAGCTGTAGTTCCTTCATTTGGCTATATCAGGATCATGTAAACAACCAATTAAAATTGAGACATCTATCAGAAATGAACTGCTTTCATAGACTGAATACCTCAGACTTGTCTAAAGCTTGTCAGAAATACACTAAAATATATGGAGCACAGCAGAAGAACAGGTACATGTCAAAGTTAATTTCAGGATATGTAGATTGGGAAATGTCAATGTACACAGGAGCCTGGATGTCCTTGAACACTGGTCATTGAAAGCAAACAAGCGGGTGCAGCAAGCAATGAGAAAGGCAGATGGTACATTGGTCTTCAATGCAAGAGGGTTTGAGCACAGGAACAAGGAAATCTTACTGCTGTTTGTTACCACTCACTGGGGTAGTGAACCTGAAATTCAGTTCTGCATTTCCTGGAGTCATCACAAAAGTTAGAGGTTTTATAACGTTCACTCAGCTCCCCAATTTACCCAACTTTCAGATCAGAATTGAGAGAAAGTGTTGAATAAAAATCATTATGTACAGAAAATCCTCTGTATCCGTGAAATCATGCATCATGAATTGGTCTATCCATGCCAAACAAAAAGCTCACAACAAAAATCAACATGTACAGACAAAAATTGCATATCCATGATATTTTTAACCATGTTATCCTATTTTAATGAGCTGCAAACTCATGAATGCCGTCATTTGTGGGGGTTCTCAGGAATGGAACCTTTGCAGATATGGAGGAATGACTTAGATGTGAATGTAAGAGTTATGGTTAGTAAGTTTGCAGATGACACCAAAATTGGTGGTGGAATGGACAGTTAAGAAGTTATCTCGGTGTCCAATGGGACCTTGATCAGATGGGCGAATGGGCTGAGGAGTAGCAGATTGAGTTTAATTTAGATAAGTGTAAGGTGTTGCATTTTGGAAAGGCAAATCAGGGCAGGACTTATACACCTATTGGCAAGGTCCTGGGGAGATTTGCCAAACAAAGAGACCTTGGGGTCAGGTACATACTTCCTTGAAAGTGGAGTCACAGTAGATAGGATAGTGAAGAAGGCATTTGGTACGCTTGCCTTTATTGGTCAGTGCATTGAGTATAGGAGTTGGGAATCATATTGCGGTTGTACAGGATATTGGTTAGGCTACTTTTGGAAGACTGCGTTCAGTTCTGGTCTCCCTGTTATAGGAAAGATGTTGTGAAACTTGACAAGGCTCAGAAAAGATTTACAAGTATGTTGCCAGGACGGGACAGTTTAAGTTATAGGGTGAGGCTGAATATGCTGAGGTGACCTTATAGAGGTTTATAAAATCATGAAGGACATAGATAGGATGAATAGCCACGGATAAGGGAGTCTAAAACTAGACAGCATAGGTTTAAGGTGAGACGGGAAGATTTAAAAGGGACCTAAGGGGCAACTTTTTCACACAGAGGGTGGTGTATGTATGGAATGAGCTGCCAGAGAAGGTGGTAGAGGCTGGTACAATTACAACATTTAAAAGGCGTCTAGATAAGTACATGAATAGAAAGAATTTAGAGAGATATGGACCAAACGCTGGCAAATAGAACTAGATTAATTTAGGACATGTGGTTGGCATGGACGAGTTGGACTGAAGGATCTGTTTCCATGCTGTAAAGCTCTATGATTCTGTGACTGCATTAAAAGGCATTAGACTCTAACTATTGATAATAGTTTTAAATCTCCAGCATATAACACTATTAATTTAAAGCATAATTTCATTATAATCTCCCTCTGGCACACAGACAAACAGACAGGTTAAATACATTATTGGGTAGAGGGAAGATCGGGAAAGACTGTTCAGACTTTGTCCCAGGTTCAAAAACTGAAATTGCTGGAAAAGCTCAGCAGGTCTGGCAGCATCTGTGAAGAAAAAATCAGAGTTAACATTTCGGGTCCGGTGACCCTTCCTCAGACTCTTCCCCAGACCTGAAATGTTAACTCTGATTTTTTTCTTCACAGATGCTGCCAGAGCTGCTGAGCTTTTCCAGCAACTTCTGTTTTTGTTCCTGATTTACAGCATCTGCAGTTCTTTTGGTTTTTATTTTGTTTATGTTCCCAGGCTCTTTGGCTGAGGTAATCTTTATGACTCTTCCGCTTGCCAGCACATTGCTTCAGTCATCTTTCTCTAAACACTTCCACCAGTTGGTAAGAGACACAAGGTGGCCTCATCATTTATAAAATGTCTCTGACTTATCAGTTAAAGTCAGAGTATATAATAACTGTGGCAGGAAAAATAAACTAGTTTTGTTCAAGTTCAAAGTGAATTTTGACTGCAGTGAACACAGAGACGGCTTCAAAGCCAGAAGAGGATTGAACACTTCTCTCTCTCTGTCACTTGTTTTCCAGCTCCAAGTAGTTCAGAACCAATCGTACATTTGTTGGCAGGCAATAGCATCTCTGTCAATGGACTATGGACTAGTGACCAGTTATCAATCAACTTCTTGTTGCCAGAAAAAGCTGCATCTATACTCCCCCTTGGCTCCAAACCATTTGCAATCCAACCTTCAATTACAGCTTATTCAAAAATTGTTTACGTGATGCTTGTCATGGGTGTCAGGTTATTTGCTTTTCGACACATACAGCCATCCTTTCGAACTCTGGTTCTTAAAACACCTCTTTCTCATTTCAGTCCATAATTTCTCTCTCCACAGACCCTGTCAGACCTGCTGAGTCTCTCCACCACTTCCTGTTTTTATAAATTTTGTAATCAACCTGCTCAGAGATGGTATGACACACCTCTGGAATAGGTGAGACTTGCACCCAGGCCTCCCAGAGTATTGATTGGTAAAGAGACCAAAACTGTAAAATCACTACATACTTGACATGGAGGGAATACTGTGAAGGTTCACTGGACCGATATGCTGGCAGGACTGTTCTATGAGGAGAGCTTGCTTCAACTGGGTCAGGAGGCCTGGGTGCAAGTCTCACCTATTCCAGAGGTGTGTCATACCATCTCTGAGCAGGTTGATTACAAAATTTATAAAAACAGGAAGTGGTGGAGAGACTCAGCAGGTCTGACAGGGTCTGTGGAGAGAGAAACAGAGTTCATGTTTCATGTCCGATATGTTGGAAAATTAGGCTCCCTTTAAAAGTGAATTTTCCACCATAAACAGTGTAGGATGAGATCTCATTTACCTGCAATTAGCAGCACTTAAGTAGCTTTCCAAATTCCTAGCATATGGAAACAGAAGGAAAGGTCACAAGTCACCTTTGCACTGATGTCAGTGATATATCTGTACCTCCCTATCAATGTTTTGTTGAGGAAAATAGGAACAGTGAGCTAACCTTCAGGTGAAAGTCAGCAAGGGACTCTGCTCTTACTTGATCACTTTGGAAGTACCTGGGAGGCATCTCGTTAAAGGATGGTCACTGCAATAAGAACATCACAGCCACAAATAGCAAAGAATGCATTCTCAAAAAAAAAGAATTCTAAGTGTAGGAATGAGTATTAGGTCTCAAGAGAAGAATTCTCAAGACTATAATTCAATGTGCCTTGTGGTACAGGACTAGAAAGTGAACATCGAGAAAACTGAAGATCCAAAGACAAGGAGGTTATGAAATGTGGTTCTGAAGATGGACAGAATGGCTCAGCTGAGGAGAACACAAGAACAATGAAGAGACCCTCAGGACTTTTTTTAATTATTGCATGGGATGTGCGCATCATTTACAAAGTTGGTATTTGTTGTCCATCCCTAACTACCCTCAAACTGAGTGGCTTGTTGGGCCAGTTCAGAGGGCAGTCTGAGTCATCCATATTACTGTGGGTTAGGAGTCACAAGTAGACCTGATCACGACGGTGCAGGAGGAAAGATTGCTTGTGAAAATCTTCAAGAAAAGACAGCATTGTTGGATTGGCATGAGAAGGAAGTGATTGAAGGATGATTAGGGGAATATAGATCAAGAGGGAGAAGAATGATGATGACTGAAAATGGAAAATGAAAGACTCCTACGAGCAACACAAGAGGAGAAATAAGCAGAGGCCCTGCCTTAGCCAAACCATTATAACCCCTTCACCATGAAAACCCTTAGCCTATCACTGCCAACCTTTACTAGTCCAAATCCTTGAATGTGTTGTCACCTCCCAAATCTGTCACCATCTTTTTCAAAACTCCATATTTTGTTTTCTTGTAATAAGATTTTCTCACCTAGCACTGTAAGCCTTTAAAAAGTAGGGCAGTTTTAGGAGCACAGGGAACACAAGACAAGTGGGATTTTTTGAAACACAACTTTATTTGATAAACTGACAGGGCAGAAAAACTGATGTTGCTTAGATGCAATAGCAGAAACACAACGAAATTTGCCTTCATTTCTGGGCCTACTTAATGAGGCTCATGGCTTCTTGTTTCAAGACTTTCCAAAATCGTCATCTATTGCAAAACAAAATTAAAACTCAAAAACTATAAAAATGTGATGGCATAGAATTAGTGATGACACAAGTGTTGTTATCAGGAATATTACTCACTTACTTGAACTGCTATAATTTATTAGAGGTCTTGCCTGTTTACATAGGGCTGTACCTACATGATAGTAGTGGCACTCCTTTACTAGGCATACCAGATAGTTATTTACTATAACAACAACTTATATTAACGTAGCAACTTTAAAATAATAAAACACCCCAAGGTCCTTCAGGGCAGCAAGTATCAAATAACATTTGACACCAAGTCACATAGAAGACAGAAGGACCGAATACTTGGTCAAAGAAATAGGTTTTAAGGAATGTTTTAAAGTCCGCTACGATAATACTCCAAATTTGAATTTTTTTAATTTTAAGTCTTAAATTTTGAAGGTTTGTGGAGATACCTGGAGTGGATTATTTTAAAGAGGGCATTAGAAGTTCATTGTAGACATTGTAGCTTTCTTATAAATCAGCTTTACCTAGAAATCACTCGACTTGTGAGACCTTCTTGTTTGGCTGGAAAGCACCTGTTGGATATGTTTGAACATGGGCTTGGAGTTTATAGTGATCTTCACTTGGGGGAAAAGGCCTGTAAGGAAGGTATTATCTACCTGATCTCTTCTGTGTCTGAAAAAGCCTTGCTGTAACAACAGGTGAAAACTATTTGTTCTCCTTGAAGACGGAATGAAGGAACTTCTCAATATTGCATTTCCTGAGCATGCTGTGTCTGCCAAGACTTCAGAGACAAGTGCATGTGTTCCGTGACCTGTCTCCAAGTGCCAGACTGCTGGACTGGGGGATAACATGAACATTCCACATATGGTCCTTTATCTCCTTCCGAGGTGTAAAGAACATTGGCCAAATTGTGTTTTCAAGAGAAGTCGGTTTTGATTCTCGACTTGGTGCATGTGAGCATGTGTGTTTTGGGATTATTTAGAAGGATTGTCATTTATGCTTCCATATTTCAGACTGTGCATGTTGCCCAATTTACATCTTCATTCAATAAGGGTGACATGGTGGCACAGTGGTTAGCACTGCTGCCCAAGGGACCCAGATTCAATCACACCCTTGGGTGACTGTCTGTGTGGAGTTTGCGTGTTCTGCCCGTGTCTGCATGGGTTTCCTCCAAGTGCTCCAGCTCCCCACAACAGACCAAAGGTGTGCAGGTTAGGTGGATTGGCCATGCTAAATTGCCCACAGTATTCAGGGATGTGTAGATTAGGTGGATTAGCCGTGGGAAATGCAGGGTTATGGGGATAGGGTGGGGTCTGGGTCTTGGTGGGATGCCCTTTGTAGGGTTGGTGTGGACTGGATGGGACAAATAGCCTGCTTCTACACTGTAGGGGTTCTATGATTTTATAATAAACCCATAATTTTGCACTCATTAAAAAAAGCTGGTGGATAGATTTTCTTTTAAACTGATAAAAATACAACATTTAATTGGTAATCTGGGAAGCTGGGAGAATACTTTTATTGTAGTTATGATCTGCAGAGTAATAGAACTAGAATGACAGTGTATTCCTCCAGCCTCAGCTGTAACGAGGGGGAAATGGAGTGATTTAAGAAGGGAATTCCAGAGTTTAGGGCCTTGAGAGGCATGATCACCATTGATGAAGCAATTAAAATCAGATTCTTACAAGGCCGGAGTTAGGGTGCCAATATCTCTGAGGAATTGTGGGGTCAGAAAAGTGTACAGAGACAGGGAGGCCTGGTGGACACTATTAAAAATTAGAAAACAAGGGTGAGAATATTAAAATCTAGGTGCTGCTCACCAGGAACCAGTGTCAGTCAGGGGGCACAGGAACGAGTGAGTGAGACTTTGATTTGGACAGTCAGGTTTGGACAAGCACATCAGGTTCCCTTCTCCAGGGCAACAAATACCAGCCTAGCCAGTTATACCCACATCCCATAATGCAGTAAACAATAGGGGTTAGCCATTAGTCAAGAATCAGAGGCATCAATCAGAGGCATGGCTGAGGGTTTCAGGAGTGGAAAAGCTCTGAGACTAAGTTGGCTGCTATCACATACACGGAGTAATTAGATGTTCATCCGGGCATCAAATCAGACACTAAAGTTGTGAAGAGTCTCGCTCTGTCTCAGACAATGGTCAGGGAGAGGAATTGAGTCAGCAGCTAGAGAGGAGAGTTTGTATTGGGAATATAAGACAGTAGCTTCCATCTTCCCATATTTAATTGGAGGGCATTTACACTCGTCAGGAATGAAGTCGGACAAGGAGTTTGATAATTAAAGGACAACACAAATGTCAAGGGGTACAGGTGGTTCTCATTGGCAAACACTGATGCTGTGTTTTTACCTATTGCTGTTGAGGGGCAGCACCTAGATGAGAAATGTGAGGAGCAATGAATAGATGCTTGGAAGACACCAGAGTTATGGTGAAGGAGCAATTGTCTGGCTATGACTAAATAAGAATGGAACCAGGTGAGTGCAGTCCCACTGGACAAGAGTGAAGAGGTATTGGAAGAGAACAATGTGGTCACTATATTAAAGCAGAAGTCAGGTCAAGGAGAAAGAGGGATAGTTTATCAAAGGTCATTAAGAGTCTTGTTCATTTATTAGGGGTCTTAGTCATTTATTAAGCTTGCTACCTATTCAATAGCAGAGACAGTAGGGCCAGTGACAATAGTTTGGGAATCAAAAGGCAGTTTAGGTAGAGAATGGAGTGGAGCGCTTCATTTGAAATTGTAACAGGGCTACAAGAAAGGAGTGTGTCCATGGCAATAGTTTGGGACTGATGGAACGTCATGCAGCAAAATCCCTGTTCATCCCAAACATCTGGAATTCTCATGCAACTGGCATCCAAGATTCAAAAGAGGAATTCCAGATGCTTGGGATCCGAATAACTGGATACTTTGCTGCTATCAGCTATTGGAAGGGAATAATGGATTTATTAAAGCTAGTTCAAGACTGACCTTATCGACCAAGACAGAATCAGCTTTTGCAACCAGCTATACTGGGATTTATTAGTGGTTCTGGCTGTTCCTTTTTAAAAACACACATTTATCTCGTGGCAGCAATGAGATAGGTTCTCCCAGCCACCACTAGTATTTCTCATTTGACCAGCAGATTCAGGTAAGTGGCTCCCTCCCATTGCCCGTGCTTGCGAGATACCAGTGAGATTATTTGTACAAAGACAGTGAAGTCATGGGATCAGTCTGAGGATTGATATGGTACGATGGAGAAAGAACAGGAAAGTGGGATTAAATTGAGGATTGATACAGGGAGAGACAGAGGGACAGCAGGAGTACTTTGGGATTTTGAATTTGGGTTGAGAGTGGAGCAGATGGATTTGAGGGAGTGACAAGGGAAAAGATGGAATTGTTTCAGGGGTAACAATATTCTGTCAGTCAGCACCTACATTCCCTCAAACCTCCAAGGTCTGTGTGCAGCGATGACTGCTGGAAGCAGAAGCCAATCATCATGGATGGACCCAGCCAAAAGGGATCAGTAACCTGCGCAATTAAAAACTAATGACTGGGGGGGTGTGATAAGATCTTTGCAGGATCTTGCTGTGTATATCTGGGCTGCCGCTTGACACCAATTACTGCAAAGGAATTTATTAGCTGTGAAGCATTGAAGGCGTTCTGTATACGTGCAAGTGTTTAATATTCTTCTCCCAGGAAAGCAGGAAAGACTCGAAGGGTCCCGACCCGAAACGTCAATTTTCCTGCTCCTCTGATGCTGCCTGGCCTGCTGTGTTCCTCCAGATCTACACTGTGTTACCTCTGACTCCAGCATCGGCAGTTCTTACTATCCCAAGTAAAGACAGCTAGGTGTCAGGACTGGACAGCATAGAGCTCCTAGAGCTATGCACCAATGGTTGGGAATCACAACAATAAAAAAACTTAAAACTGTAAGAGAGGAAGCAGCTGGAGTTTGGTAGTGATGTGAGGGATTTCTTTCATTCATCAGGCGTGTTACTATCAAGTGAAGAAAACACGGAGTAACTTACCAAGCTGATGAAACTCATCAGCAACATTGCAGTGTCCTGGGAGAGAGAACAGGATGATCAGCGTTACAATGATGTAATTAATATTCTCAAATTGCTTATCAGAATCCACGAAACAAGGATAAGGGAAGTGTTCACTATCCAGTTACAACATTACTACTTTCACTTTGAATTTCAACCCCATTTAGATAAAAAAAATGTTTCAGCATTTCATATCACTACTGAATCCTGAACATCATCAGTTTGTCTCTTAATCACTCACTCAATCATCACTTTGTTGATTTCACCCCCAGTTTCAGCTCCTGCTCTCCCCTCTTCACCATTGCCCCGTCTCCCAGCTCCCCCTCTCCACCACCTCCATTTCTATCAGCTCCCTCTCTCTCCCAGTTCCACTCAATCCATCTGCTGCCCCTTTCCATCAGGACTGTCTCTATCAGCTCTGCCTCTACAAGCTCCCCCTCTCCGTCTGCTGCCCCTTTCCATCAGCTCCGTCTCTCCCAGCTTTCCCCCACTTCTCTCTCCCAGCTATCCCCCCAACGCCCAGGTCCCCACTCTCTCTCCCAGCTCCCTCGCTCTATCCTAGCTCCCCCTGTCTCTCCCAGTTACCTCTCTATACCAGCTCCCCACCGCTCTCCAAACTGCCCCTTCTCTATCCCATCTCCCCCGTCTTTCTTCCCACTCTCCCTCCCTCTCTCTCTCCCCCAGCTCTTCCTATACTTGACCAGTCGCTCATGAATGCTGTGTGTGTTGTGCAAATGATGCTTCGAAATGTGTCCTATGGAGAAATGGACAGGAACAGAACAATACGACCATGGACTCAGTCACACATTCTCGTTTGTTTGGATTATTACCGATCAAGCAGTTTCTGGGACAGGCAACAGCACAGAAAAGGTAAAGTATGAGCAGAACTCTGGAAAACTCTCTCCTCCTTCTCCTCAGGCAATTGAAACTAGACAGGAGATCCCACAGACTCCATATGTTAACACTGAACCTTTCTGAATGCTTTGATCTCAGACCCAGTCAAAGAGTCAGCCAGCTCCCCCAAGAAGGATTAGATGGAGTCAACATTCATCACAACAACAAGCACTACATCCCAGAGTCTCACCATAGTCAGGGAATTGGAGAACTGCCCAACCTCCAGGCTATCCCTGCACTCACACTGTGTCACCTTGCATTCCCCATTATCCCCAAACTTCTCAAACATCAGGCAGCCTAATCGGCTTCTTCAAAAGGTCTCAAATTTCCCATGGACCAATCAAAGCTCGTTTTAGAGCAATCTGCAGTCTGATACAGTTAGAACAAGCTGAGGGCAGCAATGAACCATTGCAAAGTGAAGCTTCAAACAGATTGGAGGAGTGTTTTTATCTGAGTCTTGCATCTATCCTTGGTTCTGAGAGTGAGCAAACTGTGAACACGATACTTAAAGGCCACTTTAGCTATTGGGATGATTCTGACCATATCGAGGGAAGGCGTAAATGAAAATTTCCGGAATGTTGTTGTCGATGACAAATTGACGGAACTTCGACTGCACAGGTTCGCTAACTTCGATGCCTCTCCCTGAAAATAGGGAAATAAAACATTAACATGGACTGGTCTGTCCGGGAGATTTCTCAATCCATTCCATCACAACATTTGGCACCACATCCTGCTTCCAAAGTGCTGAATGGATCACTCTTGGATAAACATCAGTCAACAGAATACAATGCATTGAAGAACAGTTTAAATAGCGCAATAAATCAGGCTTTTCATTTCTGCCTGCTGTGAGGCATTTGGACAATCTTAAACTAGTTCATAATCCTATGGCACAAAAAAATTGCGTCTCTTTTAACATCAACTTGCAATAAAGTGGCAATTAACCATAGCAAGGCCACAAGATGGTTGATGTGAAAAATAATGCAATCGCTGGTGACAAGATAATTAGACTGTGTTGAGGAGGCTTTAACAAAACCAAAAATTCGTGGAAAACTCAGCAGGTTTGCCAGCATTTGTGGAAAGAAAGCTGAGTTAATGTTTCAAAATGCTAGCTCTTCTTTCTCTTCATAGATGCTGCTAGAGTTTTTTCAGCAATTTCTGTCTTCATTTCTGATTTCCAGCATCTGCAGTTCTTTGGTTTTTCTTTTGTAGAGAGAGTATTACTTCAGTTCTGAAGAAGAGTCATACCTGACTCGAAACATAAACTCTCTTTCTCTCTCAGCAGATGCTGACAGACCTACTGAGATTTTACAGCACTTTCTGCTTTTATTTCAGATTTCCCACATCCTCAATAGTTTGCATTCAGTGGAGAAAATTTTGCTCTGCACCTCACCCTGTGCTGTCCCCGTCCTGAGAGTGTTTGATGGGGGGGGGCGCAGTGTGCAGAACTTTTACTCTGTAGCTAACCCTGTGCTGTCCCTCTGCTGAGAGTGTTTGATGGGGGGACAGCATAGACAAAGCTTTATTCTGTATCTAACCCTGTGCTGTCCCTGATGATGTCATTGGATAGTGATTTTCTTTACAGTATTGTCATTATTGCCTTGAGTTGGAAAGGTAAAGATAAATAATTAGTGTATCACTTGCCCAAGGATTCACAGATCTTGACAAACACAATGTCACCCAGTGGCTCATGCCTGCACCATGCTTTACTCACCATAGAGTTTGACAGTGATTTTCCTCCTTTGTTGAAGGAAAAGGATTGCATAGTTGGTGTAATCCGTTTCAGCAATGACAATGTATGTCTTTAATCCTCGATCTGTAATATGAAATAATTGTTTTAGGGGAGGGAAGGGAAATGGAAGCTGGAACCAGTAGAAGAAGGATTTTACAAACTTGTCCTGGAGAATCTCCCGGGAGTTGCACCCTTCCTATAGTCTTGTTTAATGTCCCAGCACAGTCCATCCCTGGAAGAGAGAAAAGAGAATCAAAAGGGAGAATGTTGCTTTCAGTTAGCAACATGCTGGGAGCTGATCAGAAAGCTCACTCCCTCAAGGGCTGGTGTTCCTCACTTCCCACCATACAACATGGAACGCATGCTAAACCTGGCAAGGTAAGTGGTGATCACTGCAAACAGTGTCGCAGCCAGGTCTGGAGACATTACACGAAAGGACTGTGGATGCTGGAAATCAGAAACAAATACAGAAATTGCTGGAAAAACTCAGCAGGCCTGGCAGCATCTGTGGAAAGAAGAAGTGGATCTGTGGAGTTCTTAAGAAGGGTCACTGGACCCAAAATGTTAACTTTGCTTTCTCTCCACAGATGCTGCCAGACCTGCTGAATTAAGGAATCCCAGAACTCTATAGCATGGAAGCAGGCCTTTTGGCCCAACTTGCCCATGCTGCCCAGTTTCCACAATTAAACGTTTGCCTGCATTTGGTCCACATCTCTCCATTTCTATCCTGTCCATATATCTGTCTAAATGTTTCTTAAGTGATGAAATTATACTCGCTTCCATCCACTACCTAGAGCAGCCCATTCCAAACACTCACCACCCTCTGTGTGAAAGAATTTTCCCTCTGGACCCTTTGTATCTCTCCCCTCTCATCTTAAATCTATGCCTTCTAGTTTTAGACTCCCCTACCATGGGGGAAAGCTGTCGGCTGTCTACTTTATCTATGCCTCTCACGATTTTATAGAATTCTACAAGGTCACCCCTTCAGTCTCCTACACTCCAGGGAAAAAAAAGTCTCAGCCTATCCAACCTCTCCTTATAACTCAAATCTTGCAGTCCAGGTAGTATCCTTGTAAATCTTTTCTGCACTCTTTCTAGTTTAATAATATCCTTTCTATAGTAGGGCGACCAGAGCTTCACACATTACTCCAAATGTGGTCTCACCAATGTCCTGCACAGCTGCAACAAGATGTTCCAACTCCTATGCTCAGTGTTCTGATCAATGAAAGCAAGCAGCTGAAAGCCTTTTTCACCACCCTCTCTACCTGTAACTCCACTTTCAAGGAGCTATGAACCTGTACCCCTACACCTCTTTGCTCTATACCACTCCCTAGGGCTCTACCATTGATTGTGTAAGTCCTGCCCTGGTTTGACCCACCAAAATGCAGCACCCTGCATTTGCCTAAATTAAACTCCATCTGCCATTCCTCAGCCCACTGGCTCACTTGATCAAGATCTTGCTGCATTCCCAGATAACCTTCCTCACTGTCCACTTTACCATCAAACTTTCTCACCATACCTCCTAAATTCTCATCCAAATCATTTAAATAAATGATGAATAAAAGTGGACCCAGCACTGATCCCTGTGGTACACTGCCGGTCACAGGCCGCCAGGCTGAAAACCAACCCTCTACAACGACCCTCTGTCTTCTATCGTCAACCCAATTTTGTATCCATTGGCTAGCTCTCCCTGGATCCCATGAGATTTAACCTTACTCAATAACCTACCATGGGGTACCTTGTTAAAGTCCATGTAGACAAAATCTACCACTCTGCCCTCAACTACTTTCTTTGTCACCCCTTCAAAAAAGTCAATCAAATTTGTGAAAAACAATTTCCTGTGCACAACGCCATTCTGACTATCCCAAATGAGTCCCAGTGTCTATAGATCCTATCTCTCAGAAATCCAGCTAACAACTTACCCACCCACGTCCATTAGGCTCACTGGTCTATAGTTCCCAAGTATATTTTTCCAGCAGTTTCTGTTTCTGTTTCTGGTGACCTTACTTCAGGCCTGATGATTTTTTAAAAAAATTCATTCACAGGATGTGGGCATCACTGGCTAGCCTAATATTTATCGCCCATTTCTAATTGCCCTGGAGAAGTGCAATGATGTGGAGTGACAACAGAAAAGATCATAAAGATTCTAGGACCGGAAAAAGTGAAGAGAGAGAACAAGGTGCAGAGCTGAATGAACACAGTAGGCCAAGCAGCATCATAGGAGCAGAAAGGCTGACGTTTTGGGCCTAGAAGTTTCTTTTATTAAGTGTAAGAGGGCAGAATTGAGTTGTTCAATATTATGGGGAGTTGATTGGATAGGTTGGGAAAAATTTCTTTGTCTAAATGATGAGTCAGTAAACAGAGTGCTCCTGATGTTATTTATTGTCTTAAGATTTGGAAAAGACAGTAGCATATGTGATCCAACATAAACTGACAGGATACAACATGGGACTGGGGCTTAGAGAGACTGCAGACATTAGCACAGAGGGTGCTGGCAGTAAAGAGAGCTAATAAGACCTAAGGCATTAGGATACAGCCCAGATCTCAACAAAGGATCGAGTTTGTATCCATTCCTGATCCATTCAACCTCAGAAATGGAGTCTAAATTCTTGGACTGGGAATAACGAGAACAACACGTGGGCATTGCAGTAAGTTTCAGCTTAGGACAATGAACAGAGAGTTTGAATTAGACCCCTGAGTTATGAGAAGCTGCAGAAACTGGTAGTGTTTACATGGAGGCGGGGGACTTTCAGACATTGATCCTACAAAAGGCTTTAGGATCTTATATAAGACAAAGACAAGTAATGGTGAATTGACTGGCATTATTCTTTAAATTACTATTCCTTCGTCAAAAGGTCAGGGGTAGCAACCAATTCTTTGTAGAAATGGGGATTCTGCCAAGTTGACAGCATCGTAGCAGGAGGATCCCTGAGGAAAGTCTCTTCCAAAGTGTTTGGTTCACTCACAGATTATATGCAAACATACATACTAACATATGAACTAGGAGCAAGAGTTGGCCATTCAGCCCTTCAAGCCTGCTCTGCCATTCAATCATGGTTGACCTGATTGCAACCTAAAATCCACATTCCAGTCAATTCATTATAGCCTTTCACCCTTCCCTTTCTTCAGAAGAATCTACCCACCACTCAGTTTCCTTTTTAGGAAGTGGTTTCCAAAGATGCTCAGTCTTCTGCGAGAAAACACCTGATATTTAAACAAAGAGTCCTAGTTCTAGATTCTCCCAGGAGAGGAAACATCCTCTCCACATCTAATATGTTGAAACCCCTTGGGATCTTTTACATTTCAAACAAGTCCCTCTTACTCTTCCAAACTACAGAAGATACAGCCTAACCTGTCCAACCTTAGTCTGGCATTTATCTCTGAACTGTTTCCAATATATTTATATCCTTTGTTAAATAATGTGACCAATACTGTGATAACACAGTGTGGAGCTGGAGGCACACAGCAGGTCAGGCAACATCAGAGGAGCAAGAAAGTTGACGTTTCGGGTCAGGACCCTTCTTCAGAAATATCTCTGCTTACCTTGACTCTGGTTTCTCTCCCTTGGTCCAGGAACAACAAGAAAAACTCCACACTGTGTTATTTCTGACTCCAGCATCTGCAGTTCTTACTATCTATGACCAACACTGTACACACTTCTTCAGATGTAATCTCATTAATGTCCCGTATAACTGAAACCTTTAAAATAAATAATAACATCCTCTTAGCTTTCCTAATTACTTCCTGTACCTGCATCGGAACCTTTTTTGATTCGTACACTAGAACACTCAGATCTCTTGGCATCTTAGAGCTATGCAATCTCTTACAATTTAGACTATAAGCTTGCTTTATATTCTTCCTGCCAACATGGACACATTCTCCATTTGCCACATCTGCTATCTATATCTTTTTGTCAGATCCTTATGTCCTCCTCACAACTGTCTTTTCTACTTTTGTGTCATCATCAAATTTGGCAATCATACCTTCTGTCCCTTCAATTGAGTCATTAATATAAGTTGTAAACAGACAAGGTGCCAGCACTAATCCCTCTGACACACCACTCTTACATCTTGCCAACTTGAAAAAGACCCATTTATACCTACTTTCTGCTTCCTGTTATTAAAGCTATCTTTTACCATTTCGATATGTTACCAGTAACCCCCACACCATGAGATTTAATTTTCTACAATAAGATGTGGCATCTTATCAAATCTAAGTACAGTACATCCATTGGTTCCCCTTTATCCACAGCATGCACAACCTTCTCAAAGACCTCCAATAGATTGGTCAGACATAATTTCCATTTTACCAAACTATGTTTACTGTGTCTAATTATCTTAAACTTATTCAAGGAAACTGCTATAACTTGTTTCATGAATCTTTTAACATTTCTCCTGTTATAGACATTAAGCTAACTGGCCTGTAGTGGGAAAGTGTAGACTAGTTGGTTAGAGACTTGAGGAGGGGCAAAGCCTATGATGTTTCACAGGAAGGGCTACCAGAAAGGGGTCTGGATGCCTGGGACCTCATTGACATATGGAATTGGAGCCTGGGAATCATTTTCCAAAGAATGCTTAATGTCACCTTCCATGTGCAGGAAATCAAATCCATGTGATGGGAGAGTAAAAGGCTATGACCACACCCAGAGTGGGCAGGATAAGTGACTCAACACACTTGTGTGAGGGAACACACTGAGTGAGGCCCTTCAAAGGGCAACATTGTACACAGACCCATGCACTGTACAGCACACAGACCTGTGAAAGTCAAATCTCTCGTGGCCGTAATGTATTAACTCTCTGTGCGCTGTTACCTCCCCGCTGACCACTTCATTCATACCCACAATTTGAACAAAGACACCAACACAGGCAATGGTGCCCGCAGAACTCATTGCTCTGTATGTGCCTTGTTCCCCCTTGTTTTCAGATTGCAGCAAGCTCCCAACACAGAAGGTACATGGATAGTAGGAAATGTCTGGATATGATGTTAGCATTTGTTACATTCAGGGCTAGTCATAGTCTCAAGGAAACAGATGTCGTGCAAAACCATTTGCATTTATGGAATTGTGAGCATCAAAATGCAAAATAGTGTCACTCATGCCATCAATGTGCCCTCATAAGGTTTACTTCTTTTCTCTTTCTCCACTAGGCCTCAGCACAGTCTCAGTTTCTGGAGCTGGAGTGCAGGGAGCCCACACAGCAGTGGAGCCCCATTGCCCCTGGAGGTTTGGTCAGGTGACCCCAAGGGTTTATGTGTGCAGAATGGCCCAGACATGCAGAGGTTTGCTTGACAAAGGCAAGGGAATCGTCTTTGGCTTCAGCTTCCAAGGGTTGGGGGGCGATGTGGTAGGCAAGGTGAAGGTGGAGGACCCACCACCCCACACTGTCCTGAAAGGGAATGTCTTAAGAGTCTCTGTACAGTTGGTCCTCCTTATATGTCTCCTGGCACTGCCATGTGTCTGTGTTAGGCACCTGGGGCGAACACCAGATTTTCCCGTCTCCCTGTCACTCATGCCTTCGGTCCTGAGGACTGAGGGCTGGATGATGGTGTGCAGCAGACTCAGAGGGTGCTGGACCTGACTCTCCATGGCAGCTACCAAGAGGCAGGCAGACAGTTGCATGTTTGGGGCAGCTCGGGCCTCATAGTGGAGCTGTATTCCTGCAACTTGCCACCCAGGTACTGCCTGCTGTTTCTGTTTCTCCCCAGGCATTCTGATGAAGTCCATGATTGCTGGCACCCCAGGGCCCTCTCCTGCCTCAGGCTGAACACATGCCTGCCCTCCAGTAGCCCCTCTGAGTGCCAAAGGCCTGGGTCATTTCTTCCTCAGCCAGTTGCGGAGCTGTCACAGTGAGGCGCTCGCCAGATTGTGGTCCTAAACATTCTACATCCGAAGTTCCCACCGAAGCCTCACATCTCTTTTCCTCAGAGGGTCACTTTCTGGCAGCCTAGCCCTTTTCTCCCCATGGGTCATGGACATTCCACTATACCTGCAAGACACAAGAGACAGAGGAGGCAATGTGGCCAATAGTTAGACATAGTCTGCAATGAATGAGACTGACAGTGGCATAAGAATTGCAGTGGAATGAAGAGTGGTACTTACTCATGTCTGGTTGGAAGGACACAGATATCCCGACATTCCCACAGGAGTACTCCCAATCTTCTCCAGCAAGTGATTCAGGTACCTGTTCCCCCAGCAGCAGAGACAGAGTGAGTGTGAGGTAGTAGAGAGAGGAGTGCTGCAGTGGAGGTGAATATTGACCTTCTATGGCATTGCTGGTGGCTTTTCTACTCAATTGAGAAAGCACCAATCCAGGTGGCAGTTTTGGATGAGGCTGCCAGTGTCTGGAGTCATGGCCTCCTCTGATGGTCCTTTGGGAAGAAGATGACCCTCCTCTGGACCACCTTCTCCATGTCACCGTTGGAGAATCACAGTACCATCTTCCCATTCTTTAACACATTCAGACTCTTGGCTAGTTGGCAGGACTTGGGTGTTTGAGCAGGGTGGACTCAGAATGCCAGCACTCATTGGGTACACAGCTGCCTCTTCAAGCTGGAGTAGGTGCCAGGGATGCAAGCTGCTCAGGAGATATTCGATTAGGAGTGAGTTGTTTCAGGGATGGTGCATGGTACAATGCAGCTGGAATTGGATAAGAGTGAGGTCAGAGTGAGTGAGTGACTCTCCCTGAGGGAGGTCAGAGTGAGTGAGTAACTGTCCCTGAGGGAGGTCAGAGTGAGTGAGTGACTCTCTCTGAGGGAGGTCAGAGTGAGTGAGTAACTCTCCCTGAGGGAGGTCAGAGTGAGTGAGTGACTCTCCCTCCCTTTTGAGACAGCACGGTGGCAAATCACCAGGGACCCGAGTTTGATTCCACCCACAGGTGACTGTCTGTGTGAAGTTTGCACATTCTCCCCGTGACGGCATGGGTTCCCTCCGGGTGCTCCAGTTTCCTCACACAGTCCAAAGATGTGCAGGCTAGGTGGATTGCCATGCTAAATTGCCCATAGTGTCTGAACAATGACTCTTACTGGGTGAGGAATAAGTGAATTAAAGAAAAAAGATAACTCTCAAAATGACTTTGTTTCTACTCACAGTTTACGTAACGTATTGATGCGAATATCTTCATCCTGATTGGTTACCTTCATAGTAACTGCCTCCAGACGGTGGTTGTTAAGCTTCAGATAGGAACACTTTGACCCAACAGAAATGAGATGCCACACCCCTGTAAACTAAAATTAAATGCCCCATCAAGAACTCTAACTACAGGTATGGCATAGAAACCATATCAAGCTCCCTCCAGGCTATTCCAATTAGCTTAAACCTGGCGTATAACCCTTAGCTTAACCCTTTGACAAGCTAAGTAAGTCATTCAGCCCATCTAGTCTGCCCTTCCATTTGAAGGCTGTTCTGATAATCCTTAAATTCACTTTCCTGCCTTTTCTCTAAGCCTGGAGTCCCCTACAGTTTAAAATCTGTCCATCTCAGCCTTGAACACACTAGTCTCAATTGTCTTCTGGGGTGAAGAATTCCACAGATTCACAATCTTCTGAGCAAAGAAATTGCACCTCATCACTGTCTTCAATGTACAATGCCTCATTCTGATCTTGTGCCGTATGGTCTCAGACTCTCACAAGAAGAAACAACCTTTCCATATCTACCCTATCAAGTCCCTTAAGACTCTTCTAGTTTCAAAAAGATCACCTCTCGTCTTTCTAATTTCCAATGAGTACATGAGAACATGAACCTGATAGGGTTGATGAGCTGAAGTGTGTTTATTTCAAAGCAAGGAGTATTATGGGGAAGGAAGATGAGCTTTAGAGCCTGGATCACTATGTTGTGGCCATGCCAGAGGCTTGGTTGAGAGAAGGACAGGACTGGCTGCTCAGCATTCCAGGGTTTTGTTGTTTTAGATGAGATAGAGAGGGTGATAAAAGAGGTAGAGGAGTTGCATTACTAATCAGGGAGAATGTCACAGCTGCACTCAGAAAGGACATACTGGAGGGTTCCTCCATTGAGGAAATATGGAAAGAGCTCAAAACTAAGAAAGGTGCAATCAGTCTGATGGGATTATACTATATGCCACCCAACAGCCACCAAGAGATTGAGGAACAAATATGTAGGCAAATTATGGAAAGATGCAAAAACAACAGGGTTGACATAGTGGGTGACTTTAACTTCCCCAATATTGACCAGGACTCCCTTAGAGCAAGAGGCTTAAATGAGGCAGAATTTGTTAAGTGCATCAAAGAGGGTTTCCTGAAACAGTATGTGGATAGCCCAACTAGTGGAGGGGCCATACTGGACCTTGTACTGGCTAATGAGCCTGGCCAGATGACTGACCTTTCAGTGAGAGTGCATTTTGGAAACAGTGATCACAACCCCCTAAGTTTTAAGAGAGCTATGAATAAGGGTAAGTCAGGACCTTGTGGGAATGTACTGAATTGGGGTGGGCAAATTATATCAGTATTAGGCAGGAGCTAGGGAGTGTTAATTGGGAGGAGCTGTTATCGGGCAAGTCCACATTTGACATGTGGCAGCTGTTTAAAGACCTGCTGATGTGAGTTCAGGACTGGCATGTCCCAGTAAGGAGGAAGGACATACATGGCAAGGTAAGGGATCGTTGGACAACGAGAGAGGTTATGAATTTAGTCAGCAAGTAAAAGGAAGCATGTGTAAGGTTTAAAAAGCTATAATCATAATGGGCCCATGAGGAATATAAAGAAAGCAGGAAAGAACTCAGGCAGGAAATTAGGAGAGCAAGGAGGAGCCACGAAATGACCTTGGCGAATACGGTTAAAGAAAATCCCAAGACATTTTATACATACATTAAAAGCAACAGGATAACTATGGACAGGGTAGGACCATTCAAGGATAAAAGAGGGAGCTTGTGCTTGGAGGCAGAGGATGTGGGCGAGATCCTAAATGAGTACTTTGTGTTGGTATTCACTAAGGAGAAGGACTTTGAGAATTTTGTGAGACATGCAAATATCCCAGTCAAGAACAAAATAGTATTAGTTCTCTTGAAGAGCATCAAGGTGGATAAGTCTCCAGGCCTCAACGGTATCTACCCCAGGTTGTTGAGAGAAGCAAGAGAGGAGATTGCTGGGTCCTTGACCAGGATCTCTGTATTCTCACTAGCCACTGGAGAGGTCCCTGAGGACTTGCGAATAGTTAATGGGGGTTGTTCCTCAGTTCAAGAGGGAAATAGAGATAATCCAGGAAATTATAGACTGGTGAGTCTCACTATTAGAGAGGATTCTTAGGGATAGGATTTACACACATTTGGAAAAGCATAGCCTAATAAGGGACAGTCAGTATGGCTTTGTGCGGGCAGGCCATGTCTTAGTAACTTGATTGATTTTTTTGAGGAGGTGCTGAAGGTGATCGATGAGGCTAGAGCAGTGGATGTTTTTACATGGATTTTAGTAAGGCTTTTGACAAGGTCCCTCATGATAGGCTCATCCGAAGATTACTTGACTGTAGAAGATAGAAGTTAGTAGTGGAAGGGTGTTTTTCTGGCTGGAGGTCCGTCACTAGTGGTGTTTTGCAGAGATCCATTCTGCGACATTTGCTGTTTGTGATATATATAAATGACTTAGATGAAAATGTAGATGGGTGGGTTAGTAAGTTTGCAGATGACACAAAAGACCAGGGGAGCTGTGGATTGTATAAGAAGGTTGTCAAAGGATACAGTGGGCAGTTGCAGATATAGGTGGAGAAATGGGAGGTGGAGTTTCATCTGAGCAAGTGTGAGGTGTTGCATTTTGGGAAATCAAATGTTTAAGGAAAGTATACAGTTAATGACAGGACCCTTAACAGCATTGATGTACAGGGGAATCTTGGGGGTCAAGTCCATAGCTCCCTGAAAGTAGCCACACAAGTAGATAGGGTGGTAAAGAAGGTGCATGGCATTCTTGCCTTTATTGATCGGGGCATTGAGCACAAGACTCAGGAAGTAATGTTGTAACTTTATAAAGGAGATGTGAGGGGCAAGTTTTTTAGACAAAGAGTGGTAGGTGCCTGGAATATGCTGCCTGTGGTGGTGGTGGAGGCAGATATGAAGGGACATTTAAGAGACTTTTAGATAAGCACATGAATAAGCAAGGAATGGAGTGATATGAATCATTGACAGGCAGAAGGGATCAGTTTAATTTGGCGTCATGTTCGGCACAACATCATGGGCCGAACGGCCTGGTCCCTGTGCTGCACTAGTCTATGTTCAATGCCCAAACTACTCAAACTGTCCTCATAAGACAATCCTTCCATACCCGGTATCAGCCGAGTAAACCTACTTTGGACAGCCTCCAATGCCAGGTTTGCCTTTCCCTATCTTTTCTCTCTCTGTGAGTCCCATCTCCAAGTATTCTATTTACCTATCTATGTTTTTGTTCCAGAATATTTTTCCTTAAATAACGGACCCAGAACTGTTCACCGTATTCTAACTGTGGTCTGACCAGTGCCTCATATAATTTTAGTAAAGCCTTCCTACTTTTCTATTCCATTTTCTTTAAAATTAAAGCCAAAATTCCGTTTACCTTTTCTAATACCCACTGAACTCAATTGCCAGTTTTTGTGATTTATGTACAAGGATTCTAAAATTCCTCTCTTCTGAAGCTTTCTGCATTCTTTCTCCATTTAAATAATATTCATCTCCAACACTGTTCCTGCCAAAATACGTTGCCTCACATTTTTCTTCCTATCAAGTTTTTGCCCACTTGCTTATTCTGTCCATAATCTTTGTGTCATCCTTATCCTATTTCCAGTGGGAAATCTACCATCTTGGCTATAATACATTTACTTTCCTCATCCAAGTCATTAATATATATTGTAAATAACTGTGGCTCCACTGATCATTGTGACATACCACTAGTTACAGACTGTCATCCTGAAAATGCCTCCTTATTGCAACTCTCTGTCCTCTATTAGATAGCCAATCCTCTATCCATGCTAACATACCATCTCCAACACCATAGGCTCTTTTCTTATTAAGAAGCCTAATGAGTAGTACCTTATCAAACACCTTCTGAAAATCCAAATATACTACTTCCACTGCTTCCTCTTTATCGATCCTGCTTGTAACCTCCTCAAAGAATTCTAGTAAATTTGGTAAGCATGAATACCCCTTCATGAATAATGCTGACTCTAATCTTATTACATCCTTTATTATAGACTCCATCATTTCCTGACAACATGTTGATGTAACTGGACTATTGATTTTTTTTTTGTTTTTTATTTCCTTTCCTCTTTAATGGTGTTGTTTTGGCAGTTTTCCAAACCTTCTGGGACTTTGAGTAAAAAAGGAATTCTGGTGCATCATTTGTGCATCCATTGTCTCTGGAGCAGCTTTCTTTAATATCCCAAGATGTATCCCATCAGATCCAAGGGATTTATTGGTCTTTAGCCCTATTAGTTTCTCAAGTACTTTTTCCTCTAGCTATGGTTATTGTATTTATTTCCTCTCTTCATTTTGCCCCTTGAATATTTAGTACTTTTGGAACATTATTAGCTTCTTCTGCTGATGTAAAGCATTTATTCAACTCCTCTGCCATTTCCTGGTTCCCATTACTATTTCTTCAGCTTCATTCTCTGACGGGATTACGCTTGCTTTGGCTTCCCTCTTCCTGTTTATATATTTAAAACAGTGCTTCCAGTCCATCTTGATATCATTTGGAAGCTTACTCTCAAGTTATTTTCTTTCTTTTTTTTGTCGCCTTTTCATGGTTTTTAAAACTTTTCCAATCCTGTGGTTTACCACCAGTCTTTGCAACATTATATGCTTTTTCTTTCAATTTGATGTTGTCCTTAACTTCCCTGGTTAACTATGGTTGGCTTAACCCCTTCCTAGAATCTTTCTTCCTCACTAGAATATGTTTTTGCTGTGGACCATGAACTATTTTCTTAAATGTCTGCCGTTGTTAATCAACTATCTTTGCTGCTAAATTTCTTCCACACTCCACTCCTGCAGGTTCTGCCCTCATTCCTTAGTATTCTAAGTTTAGCACAGTTGTTTCTGACCCAAGTTCTTCCTCTCAAACTTATCCTAAATTCTACCAAGTTATGGTCACTGCTTCCTACGGATCATTTGCACTAACATACTTATTAAACCTGTTTTATTATGCATCACCAGATCAAAAATAACTGGATTACTGGTTGGATCCACAACATATTGTTCTGGGAAACTGTCCTGTTTACACTCTGTCAATTCTTCATCATGGCTTTCTCTGCAAAT